AAAATTTGCCACCCATAAAAAATGCCCACGGAGCGCCTTGACATCCCTAGGCCATGCCATCCCTTGGTGCCCCTGAGCCAACTTCTCCTCTTAAAGGGTAAAGATATTGATTGAGCCCTTAAACTAGTTAAATCTTTGCATGTGAACCCCTCAACTCAAGATTGTAATAAATCTCTCAACTATACAATTACATGAGTGTAACAATTGCTTCTTTAATTGTTGGATGGCTTGTGTGAGAGAGGACATGTGCTGTCTACATGGTGTTATAGGCTAGTCTGCTATTTTATGGATCAAAACAAGGATTTATTTACTTTAGGAATAGAATCAAGAGTTTGTACCAAAATTAAGAAACTAAAATGAAATTTAACCTAAAAAGTATATTACCTAAAAATGCATGCAAAGTGAAAGTATTAATAACGGTCGAAATTATTTAACAAAATATCCTATAAATTGTGACGAACGAAAATTCTAGACAATTAAGATATGGGAAAATCCCACATCAGTTAAGTAAAATGCTTTTAAATTTTTTGAACCCTATAAATAAATATATCCTTATTCATTATTAGTTAGTTTTAGATTATATATCACATAAGATGATAATAAATCTACTCGAAATTATAAAGAAGCAGTTTTAACTATTTAACTTAAAAATATTTTTATATTCCCAATTATAACTAATTAACTATAAGGAATTCTCAAACCCCTTCTTAAAATCAAATCTTTCGATATTTCCATCGCCAAATTCATGAAAGGGTTTCAAGAAATTTACGTAAATTTTGAAACTCCTCAATTAAATCATAATGATCTTCAAAAAGTAATGTTATCTCATGATCGAGGTCATCTAACTCCCAAATTCCTTTCCGAAGATTGGCAAAACACTAGAGAAAAGCTTTGTAAACCTCATTCGGAACCCTTGGTCTAATCTTTGATATAAAAGAAATAGCGTAGTTAATTAATAAAGAATCCATGATTAAGTTTTTGGAAGAAGAACAAGTTATTATATATAGGTTCTTGTTATAATTAAGGATAGGGTAGAACCAAAATAAAATTATATATTAATAGTTCTAATTCAAAAGGAAGTATAACTAAAATAAAATTATATATTGATTGTTCTAATTCATGTAGGAGTTGCACTAAAATAAAAGTATATATTGAATCTCCAAATTCAAGTAGGAGTTGGAATTAAAGTAATGTTATATGTGAATTTTAATCCCTAAACTTTGAAATTTCACATATTTTTAGTTTTTAGAGTTTGTTTAGTATGATTAGAGCTTTTAATAGAAATTCTGTTTAAGAGAATTTAATGTAAAAGTTTTGTTTGTAATAAGTTAAAGGTGTTTGATAAAATTTTTTACGAAAGTACTTACAGAGTGTAAAGTTATTTAATAATTTTTTTTTTTACAAAAGATCTTTTATATTAACGTTAAAATAACTAAAAAGAATATTTGTTTTTAAAATAAAAAACACTATTTCTATATATTTTCTTATATTTATAAAACTTAAATTAAGTTCAATAATTTTAACATTAATCCCATAAAATATTTATTTTAATGTTGTTGATTGCAAATAAATTTTTTATATTTATAAAAGGTTAAGAAAAAAAAAAAAAACACTCAAATACCTAAAACTAGAAAGTATTCACAAAACCAATGATTTGTTAGTCTGAGTGGAAAGAGTTCGGTTCCCCTTAAATAAAATCTCAAGTTTGAGTCTTGTGAATAGAGAAACAGACGCTGAAAGAGTTTCTCCTCAAATGAGATATGATATGACTCGATTCCAAATTAATCAAACTCAATGTGGTTATCGGATATCGGGAGGTTCGTATCAAAAAAAATATAATATATATTCACAAATTTCACATGAATCACATCTTATCATCTGAGAAATGTATACTATATATTGTATGCCAACGAATTCAAATTCTGTCAAAAAGGAGAATTCAAATACAAATGTAGTAGTATGTCCTAATTTTTTTTTTTTTTTAACAGCAAAAGAATTTTATTGACTTAGAGTACAAGGGAAATCTTCCCCAAATCTTACAATATTACAGTCTACATCTCACATAGTCATACTCCGCTCATAAGTCATAAGCTATAATCACAAGAAAAATACACAGTAACATATCATAGTCTCAATATCACCTCAGAATACCCGCTCTGCCTTCAAACTTATTGTAGCAGCCTTCCATTCAACAAGTTTCTCTTTTTGCATGTAGGTGTCTGATGCATATCCCTAGCCTAGTCATCCAATTTGAGAAAGAGAAATCAATTCCTTTTGCTCTCCTACAATCCAATGCATGATATATGATCTCAACTGCACAAGATTCAACAATTTTTCCACGTCCACTGCAGAGCCATAAAAGATTTGTTCATTCCTACCAAACCAAAGAGTCCAGGTCATTGCAAACCAAATAACCTCCCACCCCACGCACGCTCACATTTCTTCTTCCCTTACTCCACACATGTTGCAAAATTGCTTTCTCCAAATCAAAATTCAGACATATATTCGAATGGTTTATAAATCAACATGTACCAATCTTAATTAATAAATAAAAATACAAATAAAATTTTAACTGAATTCAAACCATGTCAAGTGAAATATATATATATATATATATGTAAAAGAATGTATCAAACCTTGCCAAATTAATGAAGAAAATACAAAGATTGTATACCACCTAGAAATTGTATGATAACACTAAGAAGTAGCATTGAAAGAAGTAAGAGCATTCATAATCCACTGGGATCCTAGTCTGAAGAATGGAATAGGAAATTTCTACTAAACTATACTTGGCAAGGGACCATATCTACAATAAAGTGTAAGAGCATTCTCAATCCCGACCGCAAATAGTAGTTTTTCCATTAATCATCCCCACCACAATGATTTTTCCTTGTTTATACCTTCAGCATTTTACCCATTTTTTTTTTATTTAATTATTTCCCTTTAAATCGGTCAACTTGAACAACACAAGACCCTAAACATTAAAAATCAAAAGAACATAATAGCATAAGCTCATATTTTCGAAAAACTCGACTAGATTCCTTGGTTATGATTTAGGTTGAATGCATGTCAAATTATAAAAATTAATTAAGTTTTGAATAAGCTATATATTTAAGTTTTTTTTAAAATATTGTTTAAATATATCTTCAAAAGTTAGTTTTTGAATTTATTTTTAGTAAAATTCAAATTTTGTATAAGAAGAATTTACTTATAAAACAAATATTTTTTTAAGTTTTGCCAATCACTTTATAAGTCTTAGAACTATTAGTTGAAAGCATAGTATAATTGTTTCTATATGGACATTCTACTTTAATATTTTTTGTGAAAAAAAAAGTGTGATTTTAATTGAAAAAAATTGATTAAAAGGAAGGATTCTATTGAAATAGTATAAAGGGACAGGCACTCAACTGGAGCGAAAAAAAAGTTTCGGACTCAATTGAAATCTTAAATTAAGGTTGTGGCTGAGATCAACTGATCCACATTTCCCCCTTCAAATTTGTCCGCGGTGAATTGATAGGACTTCATGGGCTAGAAAGAATTTATTGGGCCTACCAAGAATAAGCCTGACCATCAAACCCATTGGGCCCCGTTCTCACTTTAATCGATTTGCCGGAATAAAAATCGAGTCCTATTTCTATTTTCTATCGCCCATTCCTTTTGTCTACCGATTCACAGTCTCTGTGCTTACCTTAATTTCAGATTTTGTGACCTAATGTGTCGAATTCCCCACATAACTTTTTGGATCGGTTTGTCAAAAGTTGAATTTTACATTATAATCATGGGCAAAGCAGAAGACATTTAATGACAAAAAGAATTGCATTAATCTAATCAAAAGTAGTTCTATAGAACAAGGGTTTAAACTTTAAAGACTTTAAAACATATACAATCAACTCTCTGCATAATCCCAAGAGAAAACATATACAATCAAGTCCCTGCATAATCCCAAGGGAAACTCAGCAAAGCGAGCAAGAGTGAAGCCGCTTCAACTCTTCTTTCTTCTCCTCGAACGCCCCATGGATCTTCTTCATCTTCTCTTCTTTCATCTCCCTCAACTCTTCTTCTTTTCGCCTCAGTTGCTTTGATAAGACAGGCAGACCCACAACTGGATTTTCATACAAAGACTCCAGAATATCAGGACATTGTTCATACAGGTTTTCAATGCACCTCAAGTTCATGGCGGTAAGACGTTCTCTGATATCAATACCTTCCACCCTCTTTTCCTTCAAAATTTTCTCTATATTCTCAGCTGCAGAGCCAAACCATGCCAATGTCATATCCAACTGGAACAGATCGTCTTCGATTTCATTCAACACCTTTTCTTGTGGTGTTTGGAGCCTCGGTGGTCTAGAGGAATATTTTCTGTGTTGGACACAGACCAAGGTGGAATTCAGTACTTTCCTGGGATCACTGTCTTCGGATTCTAATGGAGTTGCAACCACTGTCTCAGAGTCAGAATCTGCCGCCTTAGGGTCATAATCCCGCCTGAATTCATAGCAGGGGGTGCAGCGTTTCTTCTTCATGCTCTTTTCTGATTCCGCTTCAACCTGATGACTCCCCTTCCTCTTCTTCTTTGACTTTTCCGATTCGGATTCTGATTTCGAGGATGGATTTCGCATAAGCTTATGAAACTCTTCTGCAAACCCATTAGGGTATTTTCTCAAGGAATTCTCAACCTCAAAACTGTAATGTTGCTGTATTATCGGAATCCATGACTGCTTGAGTTGGTAGTCCACAACTCCAGAAAATGACTGGCAATCCGTCCGAAAGCTTTGAAACTCCTCGATTAAATCAGGATGATCTTCAAAAAGCAAAATTACCTCACGATCGAGGTCATCTAACTCCCAAATTCCTTTCCGAAGATTAGCAAAACCCTGAAGAAAGGCTTTGTAAATCTCATTTGGAACCCTAGATCTAATTTTTGATACAAAGGTAATAGCGTAGTATAATAAGGAATCCATGATTAAGTTTTTAGAAGATGAACAAGGTATTATATATAGTTTCTTGTTATAATTCAAGACGGATTAGAACAAAAATAAAATCATCCATTAATAGTTCTAATTCAAAAGTGAGTAGAATGAAAATAAAATTTATAAATTGATTAATATAATCAAAGTAGGAGTTGGAATTAAAATAAAGTTAAATATCAATTTTAATCCTTATACATTATGATTTTACATATTTTTAATCCTTAATCTAAAATTTGCACTTTTTTCATACTTGAACTCAAGCCAACCATGGCGTACAAGTTTAGTACTTCCGTTAACGGCATGCCGGCTAACGGCGTGCTGAAATGGAGAATTCTTGGGGAAAACAGTGAATGTGGCTGATTGATGGGTGAATGGTTGCTGAAGATCTCTACAAAGCTTTAAAATGAGATGGCCTGACATGGTAAAAGAATTGGAGGAAAAGATTCTATTACTTGGCTTTTACCCGCTTCAGTGGAGTTTTCCATTGCTAGTTCATACAACCTGTTGCGCCTCAGGAAGAGGAAGGTGTCATGGCACAAACTGGTGTGGTCTAGTAGTGCTATCCCAAGGTATGCTTTTATTGGCTGGCTTATGGTTAGGGATAGGCTTAAGACAAAAACACTGTTATGCCAGCGAGGGACTGTGGTTGGTACTAGTTGTGTTTTATGTCAAGAAAGTGAAGAGAATTGCCAACATTTATTTTTTGAGTGTGCTTTTCGAAAGTCTGGTCTGCAATTTTGCTGGAGTTGGGTATTACATGTTCCCCCCTTCAGTGGAGTCATGAGTGGCTGTGGTTAAGGAGTATTTGTAGAAGTCGCAGCAGATAGACTAGAAGAATTAAAGCTGCCATTTCTGCCTCTGTTTACTACATTTTGCAGGCTAGAATTAAAAGTATGTAAAGAATTAATTAAAATTTATGTTGATATTTTTAGAGAAGGCACGGTATGAAAAAGATATGTGAGAAGGGAAGCCAAAGAGATCTAGTATCTGCAATATTCACAATCAGCTTACACTGGAAAGACATCCATAATATAGGGAAGAGAGATTTAATATCATACGAGTTCTGCCAGAAGCACAATTAATTGTTTCGATAAACCAAAAAAATCAATGGCATTCGAGGGAACACAATTATTACAATACATGATAAGAATGATTCAATGAAATATGATTTTATGGAAAGTATGAATTGCATTCCGTAGACCCTGCAAATTATATAGAGTATAACATATAGATTATGAGAATGTAAGATAAGTCTTTAGTTGAAAATTACTCACTTGTACAACTACTGTTCTTCAAATGAGAGAATGCATTATGGGGCGGTTCAATCCAAATGAGTTCGAAAGGATCTAGCTCTCCCCAGTCGTGGCACTGCTTTCGAGGATAGTATCTATTGTCATTGACAGAGTATGATATGCAGCGCTTTCCAAAGAAACGAACTTTGGAGAAGTAAACATTGTTTCTCATGATTCCAGGAAGATCAACCTTTGAATGAGATGACAAGAAACTGGCAAACAATGTCATGCCATGAAGGGTTTTCATCTCCTCCCATGCTGTTTCTGACTGGACCAGTTTAAATACAATTGGATTCTCACTACAACATGTATAAATAACCAAGATGTCACCATTATGCTCTGCCATAAATAAGCCCTTCCACCAATTTTTGTTTAAGAAACTATCTGGACATCTAGGTGGAGGGACTGAAAGAACATTCCAGAAGCACTCCAGTGGATTATAAACACCTATCCAACCAAAGAGACTTAGACAATAAAAGTGGCCATTGCAGAAAACAATCTTATTCCAAATGCTACTCACAAAAGGCAAGCGATTCTGGTGATTAACAGTGACCCACTCTTCTGCCCCAAGTTGGCAAGTGCTGATAACAACAATACTAGGATTGGAATGCTTAAGCGTAAAAACCACACAGCTCGTAGATGTTGATGTTGGGGCACATGAGAATGCAACAATCTGATATTTTAACTCAAACCTTGGCACTGGCAGTTTAATCTTCTCCCGAGTGAAGGGGTTAAAGAAAAACAGACAGTTAGTATTGAGCTGGCATAGCAACAGCCAACCATCTTTACTGTAGCAAACCCTTGAACCACACAACTCTGGCAAATAAAGAGAACAAGTCTTGCACTGTGTTGGATCATAAAAGTCATACATGTCACCATACCTTGGAAAGTACATAAGCCATGGTGATTGACTCACCACACGGACAGACACCGCAGCTCTGTGCCAACTTTTACAGACAGCAGATGATCGAATATTATCTTCTAGTTTCAGTTTGGACA